AATGAGAGAAAGCACACAGTATTAGTCCTCTGGTGACGGCTTACTTCAGCTAATGTGATTGTCTACAGTTGCCTCCACTTGTCCGACATATGACTTTAATTTTCTATATGGTTAAAAACAAGTTTCATGTTGTATAGATACATTTTCTCCATCCATTCCTCTGTTGTTGGATACCTATGGCTCCCCACAATTTATATGTTGGGAGTAGCATAACAACTAGCATTGATATACAAATATCTCTGTAATATATTGACTTGGTATGGGTTTTTTGGGGGTGGGTGGGTGGGAGGGGGTAAGCACCCAGAATTGGTATAGCTGGGTCAAATAGATTTATTTTTAGTTGTTTTTGTTTGTTTGTTTGTTTCTATAAACTCCATGCTGATTTCCACAGTGGCTGGACTAGTCTATAATCCTTCACCAGCATCATTTGTTAATTGCTTTCTCAATGGCTAGCATGGTGACTGGTGGAAGATGGAATCTCAGTGTAGTTTTGTTTGCGTTTCTCTGGTGCTTAGTGAGATTGAACAGTTTTTGTATGATTATTGGCCATTTTTGTTTCCATTTTAAAGAGCTATCTGTTCATTTTATTAGCCCATTTATTGACCATGATGATTTCCTACTATTTGCTTTTCTGAATTCTTTATGTAGATTGTATATTACTCTTCTGTCAGATGTATAGCTGGCAAAGATCTTCTCCCATTTCATATTGTGTCTCTTCACTCACTGAACTGTTTTCCTTTGCCGTACAGAAGCCTTGTGGCTTTGTGAGGTCTCACCTGTCAGTTATTGGCATTAGTATCTGAACAACTCAAGTTTCATTCAGAAAGTCTTTGCTTATGTCTATATCTAGAAGCGTTTTCCTTGTAGTTTCAGGTCTTACATTAAGATCGTGGATCCATTTGGAGTTTTGTATGCTATGAGAGAGAGGAATCTAATTTAATTATTCTGTATGTGGACATCCAGTTTTCTCAGCACCATTTGCTGAAGAGGCTGTCTGGTCTCCAGTGTACAGTCTTGGCATCTTTGTAAAAAATCAGGTGGTTCAGCTGCATGGGTTTATATTTGAGTTCTACATTCTGTTCTCTCTCTCTCTCTCTCTCTCTCTCTCTCTCTCTCTCTCTGCTGTTTTTGTTACTGTAGCTCTACAGAATATTTTGAAATCAAGTATAATGATACCACCAGCAATATTCTTTTTGCTCAGGACAACACATTGCTTTGGTTGTCTGGGGCCCTTTGTGCTACCGTATGAATTTTAAGGTTGCTTTTTTTTTCTTGATTATTTTAGTTCCTTCTGGCTAGTGTGGATCCTGAAAACAGTAGACTCTCAGAACTCCTGAAGTGAACTGAGATTGTCAATTCTTTTGTGCATCAACTTAATAATTTCCCACTTAGGCTTAGGATTAAACACAGAGGTGTAAAAATGTCAGATTCGAGAGTCCCGCTGAAGGTCTTCTGACCTAATCAGCTCCCCTTGTAGAGGAAATGAAGAGAAAAAGGAAGAATTAAAAGCAAAGCTGAACCTATACCCAGATCTCAGCTTCTCAGACACGACTATTCTCACATATTATGGGGTATGAGAAATCCACATACCTGAGGTGTAAGCCAGTCCTCCCTCCTCTGAGCTCTCCAGAGTTAGATGGGAATGAACACCATAGATAGGCACTGGAGGAGATTTGATAGGCAAAAACCCTGGACTACTTTTTCAGTCAACCTTCTCACCATTGACTGACAGAAGGTTGGTGGAGGAAGCCAATGCAGGAACTGATAAACAATTCATCTAACACCGATCCCAACAAGGACTAAAAGGTGGAGGGACATGGTGAACTTAAGGTGGATGCCACTGGAGTGCAGGGGGATCACTTGTTCTTTATACATGTAAAATAGAGTCTCATCCTCTTAGAACAGGCAAGAAGAAATGCTATCCCAAGTTAGATAACAGATCAGCTGTCAGACATAACAACAAGGGTCTGGGGATGAGACCTAAACTGGTCTCACAAGCTCTATATTGTTCTGCATCCACAGGCTCCTTGTCTGCTGTGAGAGGATTATCCTAGCTTTTTCTGGCTACTTGCCCTCTCACCTGAGTTCCTGTCCAAAGCTAATGAGCCTTTCTTACCAGCAAGCCAGGGAGAGAAATCCCTGAAGGCTGTCCCACGCTTTCATGCATGTTGGTTCTAAGGCTGGGCAGACCCTGGCATTGTACCAATAGTGATGTTGGCCACAGTGGCCTCCTTGCTCTGTCACCACCATATGGGACCAGATGGCTCATCTGGTCCCTTCAGCCTGAGCTGCTAGAGTCAGTGAAACCCACCTATGCAGTTTATCCACCAATTGGCCATGGGAAGCCTCATCTCACCTGGTTCTGGCTAACCTGTTCTATTTGGGTTCAGCTCCACTCTGGCCTTGATGTTTTGCCGGTCTGCATCCTCTTGGAGATGGTCACAATGCACTTTACCCACACCATCACCTTTCCACTTTCAATGCTGGGGGTGCAAAACAGGTGCTTGCTTTGGCCGGGCAGATAAGCATTCTACACTGGGCTAACAGCTTCCTCCCCCTTGACCCAAGACTTCACTAAGCATCTGTTTATCTCACCTGTCCTCAGGTCCTATCTCTTTGTTCTTATAGCAGTCATTTTAAACACACATTAAGTTTTTTGTTGAAAAAAATGTTAGTTCTAAAATTAGCATATCATAAAATTTATATTCCTTGGTGTATAGTTTGATGGTTTTAACTCATGTTTAGGTTTGTTACCCAGAGCAGGATGTAGAACACTTGTCCTTCCAAGATGTTTTCCCCACATCATCGCTTTGTAGTCGTATACCTCCGCCATGCCCTGTCCCACAGCCTCAGATTTGTGAGAATAACATATTAATGGAATCCTGAGAATTTAACGTTTTGGAGAGGTGGTATATGGCTTCTTTTCAATACAATGAGTCTTTTAGACTCATCCATGTTGTTGGATGTGTCAATAACTTATTTCATTATTGTTTGGAGAAACCCTTACTACATCACCCACATTGGTCTTGAGTTCATGTTGATCCCTTGCCTCAGCATCTTGAGTGTTGGGATTACAGGCTTGAAACATAATATCCAGCTAGAATTTATTTGTCTTTATAGCTCAGTGATATTCCATTGTATAACAATATTGTACTCAGTCTTCCATTCATGAATTACAGGACATTTTGATTGCTTCCAGCTCAGAGAGACTGTAAATAAGATTTCCATAAATATCCATGAGCTGATATTTGTGTGACTGTAAGTTTACCTTTGTCTAGAGTAAGTGCCCAGAGGCTTTTAAGCTCACCCCTTAATTTGGATCTCCTCCCACTTTGCAATCTGGGTTTGTTCCGCCCCTTGGCCTCCTGCTATCAGACGAAGACCCACGCCTTTCCTCTCAGATGAGCAGGCTTTGTGGAATCTGTTTCATTTTTGTCTCTTCCATGCCACAGCCTTCCCTTTGCAAATGAGGAACTCCCAGAACACAACCCGAGTGGAGCCCATTTTAATTAATCTAAATCTTCTCAGCTCAGTATTTGTTGTGGTTTGGATTATTGCACCAGTAATGTAGTACCCTCTGCTGGCTGGTTCACAAAGCTGGCTCTGTGCCTGGGCTAAAAAAAAAAAAAAATTATAGGTGGAATGGAGACAAGGAAAAGAAGTCTGGTGGGGGAGGAGGAGGGAGAAGGAGGAGTTGTGAGAGCGCCCGTAGAAACGACAGCCTGACGGGGACACTTCATGTATTTGATGCTACACATATAGATAAATGCTGTAATATTTTTGTGGAACCTTACAATATTGTCTTCTGAATTGTAGGCAAAGATGGGCTGTCTGGAAAGCTGGACCCAGCCTGGAGCTGCCACCCAGATTGCTAGTTTGTGAAGCCTTCTGCATACAAATGACTCAGATCCAAACATTCAAAAATGATCTTGGAGGGCCATCTGGTTCTCACTGGTTCTAAACGCTTCATTCAGCCCCGGTGTGGATCCAGTTCAAAAGATAGCAAGAGCCTTTCACAGAGAAGGTTTAATGTGTTCCACTGACCATGGCTGCAAGCTAGCTTTTAAAACCAGCCAGCCGTGATGCTCTGAGGGCTGGTGGATGATGGTTTTCATAGGTCAGTGGAAGTCTGATAAATATTTAATTGGCGATGCAGTGGTATAGTGATATGAACACACACATACACACAGACACAATTTTATATCATCAGGAAACATGTGTTAATTTGTTTGGGTGTCTGAGCCAGTCTGTGATTTAGCCTGAACCGGCATGTCAGGCCATGAGGTCTGTCAGAGCTGTGTAATCATTGCGATATGTCATTTTTAATTCGTGAAGACAATGTACCCAGCCTTGCAGCCGGGGTGCTGGGGTGCTGACCGCCTTTGCCATGGACACTGTTTGGCTGCTTGCCTTCCTGATCAAAGGAAGGGTTGTGTCCTCTGAAGCCGGGGGATGGGGAACACTCCCTTGGGAGGCTCACAGCATGAACAGGAATGGGAGCCTGTGATCTCAGCCCTGGCTCTGGGCTACAACCAAGTCCAGAGACCAGGCATCAGGGAACACGGGTTGAAAACAACCACCTCAGCAAGTGAAGTGCATACAGTGGGGGTGGGGGTGGGGTACCTGACTGACTCCTCATTTCCATCAGTTTTCACTGTCTCATGTGGCAGTAGTGTACAGGGAGAAATGTGTGTTTCCATTAGTACAGGCACACCAACCCCAAATGCTGCCTATGTTGTGGCCTTGAAAAATTTTCTGTAACCCTGTCTCATACTCTAGGATGTAGAATTCTGGAATGCAGGGGCTGCATCTGGCTCCCTGAAGCCCAGCCCAGCATTTGGCATAAGGAAGATATACAAGGGAGTTTGTTAAACACTTGGGATAAAGAACAGCTTGTGAAGGGCACTGATGCATGAGATGACATAGGTGGATGTTGGGACCTTGGTGAAGTCATTGTACTCCTACTCGAGGTAACTCAATTTTCTTGTGTTCACTCTCAGTGAGTCCCACATCAGGCCTCATCTTTTTGAAACCATGCGGAACAACGGAGATCCATAGTAGCTCTAAGGTGCAAACAGATTGGTGAGTGTTTTCCCAGCAAGTTAACGGTTGTTTTCAAAACCAGCCAGCTTCAGTGTTGACCTTGTTCCTCAAGGCTCTTCCAGGAGACAGGAAGCATATCCTCTCAGCAACCGGAAGCAAAACTCAATGACAGATAACATGTATGTCTGTCCTAATGTATCTATTCTATATAAAAGGGCATTTAAAATGGCCTCTTTAAGTGAGGAAATTTAATACTATTAGTTTCTTAAGCTCCTGACAGACCCTTGGTCTTTAGAGAAGACTCCCAGGATCTCGGTCAACACTCTTCAGTATGGCTTCTTTTCACATTGGTGTTTGTGCATGCATGAGTGCTTGCCTCTGTGTGTGTGTGTGTGTGTGTGTGTGTGTGTGTGTGTGTGTGTTGTATGCATGTTTATATGTTTGTGTATGCATGGAGGTCATACTCTCTACCTTATTCTTTGAAACAGTGTGCCTTCACTCAGCCTGGAGCTCATTAATTTGGCTACATACTCAGTAATCTATGGGGAATGTCTACCTATCTCTGCATGCCCCAGCACTGCTGGGATTAGAGACACCTGCCATGGCACTTGCCTTTAGTGTGGGCATTAAGGATTTGAGCTCAGGAACTCATGGTTATGAGTGAACACCTTATCCTCTGATTTGTTTCTCTAGATCCATACTGACTTGAGATTTCTTAGTTAAGAGGGTTTCCCTGTGTCTTCAGTGTGAATCCTTGCAGCGCTGGCTGCTCTCTGGAGATCTGTGTTGGCTTCCATTGAGGTTACTGATGATGACAGTTCTAATGCATGTGCTTGCTTGTTCATACAAAAGTTACCATCTTGTGTATTTTGAAATGAAAGGTATAGTCATGTTAAATGCCTCCATGTCATTGAGTTACTATCCCCACTAGCCACCCACTGAGCCTTTCTCCTCTGCAAATCTGACTTGTGGCTATTAAACAAGAATCCCTCTCTCCAATCTCTTTTCCCAGGCTTTGGCAGCCAACCCTTCTACTCTCTGTCCCTGTGAGTTTGAACTGACTTATAGACCTCATCTTAGTGGACCACTTACCTGCTGATGGCTTTATTGTCACTCAGCATATGGCCTTCAGGTCCCTCCACGCCATAACATGTGCCGTTTTTGTTTTTGTTTTTTTTTTTTTTCACTTTTTAAGGCTGAATGATTTTCTTTTGTTTATATATCATGTCTCAAATCTCCACTCACCTGCCCCTGCACATGTGGTTTCTTCCACTTCTTTCGTCAGCTGAGAACAGCTCTGCTGTGAACGTGGGTGCACAGTTATTCCCTTGACTTCCCAATTTTGCTTCTTTTGGATAAATATCCAGAAATGGAATTGAAGGAACAAACAGTTCTTGTAATCTTTAATTTGTGGAGGTTCTACCCCTGTAGTAGCTGCACCATTTTACAGTCACTTAGAGATTCCACTTTTTTTTTTTTTTTGATAATCTCATCAATACTTCTTATTTGCTGTCTTCTGTTTTTAATGTAGATATCCTAATGGGGTAGAGTGGGATCACATTGCATATTTGATCTCCCTCCATTCATCCTTCTTCCCTCCCCCCCTTTGTCCCTCCCCCACCCTTCTCTTAGTACTGGTGGTGATTGAATTGAGGGCCTCACACACGCTAAGCAAGCACTCTGCTACTGAGATCTAGACTCAGTCTTCTCTGGTGCCTCTTCTTTTGAGACAGTCTTACTAAGCAACTCAGGAAGGCCTGAAGCTTGGGATCTTCTTACCTCAGTCCTTCCAAGTAGCTGGGATTGCAGGCTTTCACCATCAGACCTGGATGACCTGCATTTCATTAATGTCCCATGATGCTAAATATTTCAGGCATGTATCAATCTTTTGTTATCTTTAGAGAACTGCCTAGTCAAGCCCCTGTCCATCTTGGAATTGGCTTGTTTGTTTGTAAACAAATGTGTCAATTCCTTCTGTATTTCAGGTCTCTTATCAGATCCATGATCTAGTTTTCCATCCAGCAAGTTGTCTTTCCCATTTTGTTGCTCTTATCCTGTTATACACAGAGAAGCTTTGATGTAGTTCAGTTTATTTAGTGTTTCCTTGGTTGTCTGTGCTTTTGGGGTTATACATAAGACACTCTTCCAAATGCATCACCAGGAAGTTCCCCTTGTCTAAAGGTTGGACAGTCTTAGGTCTTCCGTCTGCCCTCTGACACACCTGTTTTCACCTTCCAACCCAGGCCCAGGCAATGAACTTCTTGAGCTTAGAGGCTGCGGATACACACTACAGCCCTAGCACCGAGCATGTGTCTGGCACTCGAGACACACACATACACACACACACACACACACACACACACACACACACACACACACACACACGCAGCAAATTATAGCAGAACAGAACTCCTTTACAAGCTATTATGAGGCTAAGTCACATGATAATTTCCCATCTTTATAATAATTACAGTAGTTTTACTAGATTTAACCACCTTTGAGGACCCCAAAGAAATCTCTGAATTAAAAGGATAATTTTTGTATGTTATTTATTTACTTGCCCCAGGGATGCTTTAATGGACTATTTGGGTCTTTGTGATGATCCCTCTACTATTGTTGTGCCTGGTATTGTTGCATCCGAGTCCCTTCATCATGGGACCTGTATGCTCAGTTCTGTAGTGATGGCGACGCCTGTGCAGGAAGACTGTCTCTTCCATCTGCACATGTGCCTAAAAGCCTGCCTGCATCACTAGGGAAGGGAAGCACTGAGTGGAGTGTTGGCTTTATCAGTCTCATGACCTTGGAGAAGTTCTTCACTTCTTTGAACTTCCCTCCATTTTCTATATAAAGTGAGAGAGGAAGATTCAAGTAAACACTTCCTTCCAGTTCTAAAATCACAGAAACTTCAGAGCTGGTAATAGATCGAGTTTAAAACGAGTCAACATTCAACCACCTCTGGAAGAACAAAGCTAAGACTCAACACAATTTGGCTTCTCAAAGGAACCATCTTATCCCAGGAGTGATGGAGAGCTACACAGGGAGAAGTCAATGGCTCGGCGTTGAGTTATAGTCTTGCTTTCTCCATAAGGGCTGGCGGAGGTTGGAAGAAGAATACAATTACTATTGTATTTGCTGTTACCATTGAATTGAGGCCACTGAACTTTCAGCCACTCCAGAGCAAATTGTCTGGGACATAGACATTTGAGTGACACAGATAGTTGAAAACAAGAGAAGTCACTACTGTTATAGCTTCTGTCTTGAGTGTCCTCCAAAGAGTCCTGTGCTGACGGCTTGGCTGGCAACCTCTGGTCCTATTGGGAGGATGTGGACCCTTTAGGAAGTAGAATCTAGTGGAAGGAAGTTAGATCATTAGGGAATATGTCTTTGGAGGAGATATTGAGACTGTGACCATCTCTTTGCCTTTTGGCCAGGATGGTGTGAATAATTATTTTCTGCCATAGGGCTCTGTCATGATGTACTCTGAAGCAACAGGCCCAATACCCAGAACTGGCGCTAGTGAAATCATGAACCAAAATAACTATTCCTTTACCCATCAAAGTGGCTTGTGTCAAATATTTTGTCCTAGTGATGGAAGATTTACTAACACTCTTACACTGTTAGCTAAGACCATGGCTATTAGCTCATGCTCAAACCCTACACACCTCTTGTGTTTCCATGGTGACTTGCAATCATATCTGAAAGGCAGCTAGAGATGTCATCTCCCAGATAGCTGTGCAAGATGTGACCTGGATTCTTCTGCCATGACAATCACTGGGGCTTTCTGAGGTGACAACTAGGCCATTTTTATGGTACCGATCACATAGTAAGATTGAGAACGTCATCAGGGAAAAGACAGGGTTCCGTGTATTGTTTTACATGTGTTTTTATGTAATAGGCAGAACATTTTTACACTGTGTTTTCCTTTTTTTGTAGGACAGAGGAAAATGAGATGGGATTGTTTTTTCTTCTTAAGTGATAGATACTACAGTGGATGCTTATATAAATTATTAGTGCTCAGATGGTCCTATGGAGGGACATCATTAGGATGGGATACTTGATTCTCAGAGAGGTTATGTGACTCACTCAAGGTCACACAGCTGCTGTTGCACACAGCATAAATGGTGTTCATCTGCTGAGTCTGAGGCTAATGCTAATACTCTTTCTTGCCTATCAGTGGACTTGAATATTATGTCAGGCTGATATGTTTTCTGTGGATGGGGACCTGTTTTCCTTTCTTCTCAATGCTGAAGTTGCTCATTTGCTTCCTTCTCCCCCCCCCCAATAAAGAGGAGCCCTCATCCTTTGAACACTGAGTTTTATCCTTGCTGGAGAGCAGGTGGCACTTACTCACAGTAGAAGCCATGTTTTTTTTTCGAACACTGCATTTGGTCTGATTTGAGCAACGAACAATTGCTCCTGAGACCAGGATCCAAATACACATGAATGAGGCTTCATCGGTCTGGGATCCTGCCTTTCGGCTTTGTCTTTCCTCTCTTTTCCTTTCCCTTGACATCTCTCCAAATGCTCACTCCCCTTGGGGCGCTGGTGAGTGTGATGGTGTCCAGATGCCTTCTCAGGGGTCTCTGGATTCACAAAAGGCCAAGTTGACGTCCATTCTGCATCTGGTTTATTTGATGCCAGAAGAGTGAGTGCTCAAGTCTCCTGGGGGAGCCAGGAGAGATTTGCCTCCTGCAGAGGTTTGGATAAGCCCCAGCTAATCTCCATGGCTTCTTAAGGGCACACCTGCTTGTCTGCCAGCCAGCAGCCTCCTCGCTCATTTCCCGTGGGAGGGCTGGGGTCAGAGGGCCTCCAGAAAGCCTTTTATCTCCCCTTGCCCCTCTAGCCCCCCCTCAACAGCACCTGGGTCTGCACATAAGACTTCCTTTGAGGAGAGGTCAAGACACTGTCCCTCCCAGAATGGAGGCCAGTGCCCCTTTCCTTCCTTTTAAGGCGGCTGGCTTGTTGCATCCTACAACACAGGCATCCGATTCAAACTTTATCATGCGTGGCTCAGACTTGATCGCACTGGGGCTAAGCTG